AAGATATACATGTATCGCGATATTTCAAATATCGTAGCGACTGAAACATGAGGCAGCCTGGAGCAGCACATTCAGTTGCCTGAGAACATCATAAACCAGAGATTCAGCTGGGTTCCAGGTGAGTCTCTCGAAAGAACCAAATTAGTTTGCAAATGAGTGTACATTCACTAACGCCAGTTGATAGATATCATGTATTTGTCTTCTAAATACCTCATATAAGATCGTTCAGCTGTAGCACCCTTTCACTGCCTAACTGACATGCCGAAGGAAGTATTAGTTTGCAAATGAGTGTACATTCACTAACGCCAAGTAGTTGATATCATGTATTTGTCTTCTAAATACCTCATATAAGATCGTTCAGCTGTAGCACCCTTTCACTGCCTAACTGACATGCCACCCGAAGGAAGTATGAGGCCTGGGGTACTTCCTAGTTGCCCAAGTCTAGACAGAGAAGTTGAGATGCAGATTTCGGATTCAAAGCATGAACCTACTGGTCAGTAACTTCGCGCTCTAACCACTGAGCCATCTCCCTAGTCCCCACCCCTCGGAGAATAAAATCGCCAACCCCAACTTATCCGTGAATGATGGAACCATAGCTATGAAATGGGCTAATCACTTGAACTCTGCAAAATGGGAATGTTATTGAAACAACCAGGAGGATATTTCGGAGGTTTGGAAAAAGGTGCTAATATGCTTAATCCCGTGGTAGTTTATTTATTTGCTTTATCAATAATATCCATATTCATCAAGACCTGTGAGAATAATTGCAGACAGACCCGGATTCCTTTCAGCAATGAAACGAATGCACAACCTGAGGAAACCCTTCAAATTGTTCTAGACTGTTCGATGAAATATCGGTCAAAGTGACTTTATTCACTCTCAGATATCACCTCATACCAGCTGAGACAACGGCTTGGAGGCAGTTATGCAGCGACCACATGCTGAGCATGTGTTCGATTGTATTGCTGTCTATCATGTCATTCTCATTTGTGATATAAAAAATGATCGCCAGTGTACCTGAATTCCGCCCTGGAGCCACAGCTATCGCCTGAACCAGGCATCTGAACCTAACGGCGCGTCATACATTTAGATACGCTCATGGTTCATTATTCCGAAAGAGAGACGTGAAGAGTGCATTAGTGACTCCTCTTAACAGCGGACAACCAAAAAAGGAGTTTTACATTTATACAAATGATCTCCATTGTTTTTTACCTGATGCTTGCACAAGTTCACTTCCTCAGCGAAATACACTCATTTGCGTACCAATTTGGTTTTGACGAAAGACTCACCTGAACCCAGCCGGAATCCTTCGTTGTTGATGTTTTTACGTAACTAAATGTGTTGCACCATGTCGCCTGATGTTTCAGTTAATCCAAAATAGCATAAATGAGAGATTCAGCTGGATTCCCTGTGAGTCCTACACCAAAGTCAAATTGGTAGATAAATGAGTATGTTTCGCTAATTTCGTGTAATTCGAGTTCAAGTGGAACATAAGTTTGACGAAAACTCGGGGACTGCAGCCGGGCGAGACCAATCGTGGGCTGTCAAAGAGTTTTCAGCAACCTTATGAATAGTGTATTGAGTTCACATCTTATCCAATAGGTCCAAACCCCTAAGATATATGATCGTTTCCATTCTGGACCGTTTGTGAAGGTTCTGACACTTTCCTGACGATTCACTACCATTCCAGTATCCAAGAATTACAACCTTGTTCCAGTGAGCATACTACATGGCCCGAGGCTACTCAAGCATTCACTGATGCCCCCCTCTTCGACATTGGAAGCAAACTAATATGTAAATAAAATGGGATAAAAGTGGCCCGTTTTGATGCACACACTTTGCTGATCAATGTATTCGTGGCCTATAAATTCAAAACATAATCTGTTGAAAAAATCCCATGGTGTGAAACCAAATTTTATAAGCATGGATGAATATTTTTGAAAGTCACCAAATCTCCTTGCACCCAACAGGGCGAAGGACCCGTGCTAAAGCCGTTCGTTTGTTCCCGATGACCACTCTTTAGTACTTTGTCAGCCTGTGAATGAAAGTAAACTGTCTTCAAGAATCCTGTTGTCTAAGTGTATAACAAACGTCTGCTGTAGGGGTACTATTTAAGCTAACTATACTCTCACTGCTCCCACCGGAAGTACTTACGTATTTCAGAACTATTCGCACCTTGGCTGAAGTTGCTATGTCAGTAACTGTACGAAATTTCAACAGCACAGCAATTTAGAAGTGCCCATTTTCCAAAGCGCGATTCGGTTTATTGTGTGCTTATCCTTTCCGGGACTATCATTCTGCGTAATCGCTCTACCATGGATGTGTCTAGTATGCTAGTTTCAGTCTCAGTTTCAATCTACACTTTGATGTTCGCGTTTCATCCTACAGCAAAAATCGGCCATCTTTGGCTTGTCAGTCCACGGTCTGGTCACTATTTCTGATAAAACTGGTTACGTGTTCAGCATATGGTGGTTTCGTTATCGCTTCTGCCTTCTGGTTTCTGCCGTACAGTTACGCGGGATGATGGTATGCTATGTGTAGCAAATACCAAGGCTATCATCATGGGTGCGAAAATGGTTCAATGTCTTCACTTAATCGATCCGTGTAACTCTGATTACCGATACAGCGCAGTGATCCATCTAGCTAATAACACCTCCCTATAACGATGTCTCCTCCAGCCTGGGGGTCAGGTCATGCATGATGACTGGTCCTTCACAATGAGACTACATCTCCACTACTGTAGATTGTTTCTAGTTTGTTTGAGGCGATGTTAGAGTGTGAAAACTGTAATCAAGGCAGCAGAATGAAGAGCGCATGGTTATTCAACCTAATAAACACTCGTCACAAACGCTCTGCCGAGTTGGTTTTGCCGGCGCTGGAACCGTGCATATATTCTCAAGTTGGGACCGACATTTGGCTTTTTATTTTGAAAACCTACTCGGTTGTATAGTTGTGGAAAAAAGCTTATCGGTTGAGCTAGTTATTGGACTTCTAAAGGGATTTCCATTCCAAATAAGAATTGTGAAGCACAGTAAGATAAACAAGCAATATATCAGGGCTATTGCTCAAAGTCTTTTCATACGAGTTAAATATCAGCTCAGCAAATCATCTGGATTGCGATCACATGATCTGTCGCACTGGATTACGCAACCCTTGTTCACTTCAACTGTCTGTTCCCACGTCATCTTTGCCACAGTGAAATGCTATTGTCTTTGGCAGTATGCCAAAGAAAAGATGCGCCGTGCAAGTACAGAAGTCTTTCTGGTTGTCTTGCCTTTTTTTCCTGACACCACAGTAATATATTGAGGTCTTCGCATATATGTAATCTTTGTGGGGATCTCTTTCAGTGCATTACAATGCTGAAACTTATCAATCGGCTTGAGGGAACTGGGGTCGATGTGAACCCAGGACCACCAGGAGATCCCGGACAGTAACTGCACTATGTATACTACATATACTATGCACACTATATAGTAGATAAATGACCCTGAAAGCACCAACTCTGGGATCTTCCATATTGAAATATACCAGGGGGCTAGAGACTCCAGGCTTTCAAATGATCTCTTTTCGGACGTGAAAGATGTTTCGATGAGGAACCACGCAAGATATCCAATTCTGAGCTCAATGATAAAGGCAAAACGTTATGCACAGTACATTCGAGGCTAGGCTTCACTTGAATCGTCAAATCAAAACCCAGTAGTGAGCAAAAACAAATTATGATAGATGTTTCGAACCGAGCACTCAAAATAAATCTCAAATGGTGTTCTGGATTGGATCA